AATCGTAGTAGGTAGAAAATAAAAAGTTAACATTGTGACATCCATTCTTGCTTCCTTCGAGACCCGCATGGTGTGGTGGTGAAGGCGATAGCCTCCGGAAAGGGTAATATCGTGTTCGGTTCCCACCGCAGACGCCAGCGTTCCGGAGTTTTGCAAATATCTCAGCATTATTATAGTTTTGTTTCAAGAATGGATAGCTTTGGAATGTTAGCCTTTCAATAATGAGATAGGATGACTTCTGAACTAGTACAAAAACCATTGTTCTCGTTATATAACCGTGTCAACGTTGTAGATTAGCTCTAATGTAAGATGGCCGCTTCATGAGAGGTTGTCATCGTTCTGTTTTGTTTGACAGTGAAATGCTGTGAGAATATGCGTTTGGTATACGACGCATTACACCGAGAAACAGTGATGAACGCCTGGTCACACTACTCAGAAAAAGTAGTCTTGGTAACCCCGATTGCACAGTTAGAATACATTATTACATTAGAGCTATACTGTTCTTGCTAATCCACCATTTCTTCGCAGAAAGAAGATGTCAGAAACGCCAAAGCGTTCAAGCACAGCACATACAATGCCTCCTCAATGGCAGCAATCTCACCAACGAAACAATTCTATCTATACGAGAGAGCCTTTTGACATAGAATGCGCTGTTCGGCTCTGATGTTCGTCGTAGTCATGTGGTCTACAATGGACCTCTTTATCGCAGAGTAAGTGGCTGCAAACAGAAAGTTAACAGCAACCTGCTCTAGCCGATCTACCTCACCCCTTGGATGAGATGAAATGCACATAGGTTAAATTGTAAGTATTCATTTATTTGTGTGATCTTATAAACTGATCTTCTTAAGCTGGCGCGAGGTTGGTACAGGTCTTCGTTGTCGTTGTCGTTGTTTTCGATGTTATTGATCGATGGCTGACGTTTCAGCGAATTCGTCTTCCTCAGAGCCGTGATATTACGTGTAAGTATTCAGTGAATCCTCTATATTTACTAGTTTGTATCACGACTGATTCGGTCTGTTAGTTGCTCAAGTAAATATATTGTCGTGGCCAAACTCAATGCCGCAGGCTCCTATATTGTCGTATATTCCGAGAAACAATTCTTCTCCGTTGTCATAGACGGCGTTTAATGGATGGCGTCTTCTCGGCGCAGTCACTCTGATGACATCGTATCTTATCCTTTTTGCCTGCACGATCAAGTCGTCTATCAGGAACTCAGAAGTGTGCGTGCATAGGTAGCCACGAATGGCCCTGAGATTTTAGCAGCCTCTCCGCATTCGTCCTACTCAATGATGCCATGTCGAGGGCTCCTTCGAGATCAGAGGAATGAGGGCCGATTATTTCGCTGTGCTTACCACTTAATACCTACGTATAACTTGTTCTGATCTTAACGAAGGGTCTGGGCAGATTCATGAGTTGCTTGTCAGTCTCTCCCAGAGTATACGAGAAGCTGATTTGTTGGAGGCGACTTCAAATCACCTCCCAAATATACCATCACTTCACTGCAAGCTTTTGGCCCAACTGAGTCGCAGTATACAACCTTCATAAACGAGAATACACCCATGTATGTATGAATGAAAACACAGAATAAATGTGCCAAATCGGTGCAGAAGAAACAGGAGGTCCATCCACTGGATCCATGTGCATCTCAGGGAAAAAAGCCGGTCAGTTTCGATTCGCAATGAACTCGCTATCCGCCACCTGGCGACACGCCACATTGCCTTGCGACTAACCGGCAAGAGATCCCTCTATGAGGGAGAACCGTGTTAAATGAATAGCCATAAAATAAAAATAAAGCTCTCGGTGTCGATCAATTCCTTAGAGACGCGCCATGCGTTCGCCTTCATTAAGCATCGTTTGGAAGTGACTGAATGCATATCTGGCCTTTACAATGACACGTGGTGGCCTACCAATGTATCGAGCCAGTACTGCTATCCTCCCAGACAAGTCGGGTATCAATATGGCGATCCCAGAGGGATGGGAGGCTTGGTGAGCCATGGGTGCGAGGAGCGATCCCACGTGTGCATGGCACGGCGCATCGGATCACCGCGCCACACACGCCCTTAATGACTTCCATTTCACTTTCAGCGACTTAAGCGGAGCTACTAAGCGATCATTGAAAAGGTCTACATAAACCTGTAGTAATTAACCACCGGTAACCACAGCGCAATGTTTTGTACTAACAGTCTCAGTTCTGCTTATTAAGAAGGAATAAAATTATTGATCAACGCCGAGGTAAGTAGAAAATCGAACTTGGTAGTTGAGCAAATATGGTGAATATAGCGCTGGTCAATCTTCAAACTCGTGAAAAAAAAAGACTGTGAAAACTTAGGAGATCTCAAAAGGCTAAGCTTAATAGGGAATTTCATATGAATTCCATACTTACTGAACAAAATGCTTAATACCCTGTGAAGAAGGAGAAATAAACAAAAGCAAAATGAGTGTGAGAAACGACGTGATAAAGTGATCTAGTAAAAACTGCTTCTCTGGAAACACCTGAACAAGTTTGGCACCACAATTGGGAAGGAATTACTCCATGATTAACCATTGAGCACTTCAGGTTTAATAAAACGCAAAAGAAATCAGAATGTTTAACTTCTTATCTACTGCAAAACTGGCTGAGAGAAGGGCACTGAAAAGGCCTCAGTGGTGCAGCAGCTAACACGTGAGCCTCCGAAAAGGGTAATTACGGGCTGAAATCTAGCCTAAGGTCCACGTTTTGCAAATGTTTCCGCATCATTGTCGTTGTAGTTCGCAAATACATGCAACTTCCAAGATCTTCCACGAATACTCCGTGCATCGTCAACGTGACGAACGATGATGATCTTGGTTTAGCAGGAAGAGATTTCGTCGTTCTCTCCAATCTCGGTAGGTTCTATCAATACAGCACATTTTCCCGACTGCCGAGAGGAATTAATGATGAAGGATGATGCGTTCGGCGTTGATCAATCTCTGAGGAATACGCTATGAATCAGATTCCATAAAACCTCGTAGAGGTGATTAAATGCATATCTGGCCCAAAGAGTGACTTGCAGTGGCCTGCATATGTGTCAAGTCAATTTTTTTATTCTTCCAGACAAGTCTGGTACCCATTACCGATACCTGGAGGGATGCAAGACTTCGTTAGCCTGGTGCGTGGTATAGACACAACGAACACCTGTCTATTGCTAGAAATCTCTAACCACTGCCTTACACGTGCCTATATGTGTGCTTGTATTTCGAGACCCCAGATAAAAGGACGCTAAACCGGTCTTGAACATGTCAGCGTATGTAAGTGTAGGACAGAGGACTGCCGTTCTTCAGACCGCGACTGAAACCACATGCGAGTGACTTCGCAGAAAAACTTTTTCGACACGGTAAAAGCATTAGCTTCAAGTATTGGAGTGAAATCCCACCTTATTTGTGTATCTCAACTTCAGGCCAAGTTGCATCAAATGCACAGCGTCTCTCTCTATCCTTCCTGTTCCTATTCCCGTTCCAATACATGATTCATACATTATTTTATCCTTTTGTGGTGGTCGCTAGATACTAAAAACAACACAGTCATTCCTCTATGAGCACAGGCCAGAAGAGCAGCAAAAAAGTAGCTTACGTCTGAAAATTCCAACTATACCGATTTCGGTGTGGTAGCTGACATGGCTACAGAATCAGGACCAGAATTTAGACGCAGGACAAAGAAGGCATTTCAAGATTTAAAGGGCGTTGACGAATCAAACATGAAATTGGACATTTACTTTAGGCTCGCCTTCTTGCGTCCATGGCTCCCAGTATAAATTAAATCATGCCCTCAAAATTATTGTTATTACGTAAAGTGAAAGAAAATTGTTACGTGTGGCATTAACTACATTCAATGTTCTTCGTTTCAAGCAACCAGATGAGCAAATCCAGGCCTCTAAACTGTATTAACGAAAGACAGAAGAACCGACTACCTTGCCAGATTGCTTACTTGGCTTGAAGGACGACCAGGACCCAGAAGCAGTTATCAGGAGGTGGACTTCAAGAACTGTGAAGTGAGCAACTTCACGATTTTTCAGGTACCTTCTGCACATCGAAAACAATTTGTGGAACTTTTTCATATACTCCAGTTGAAAACACATTTACATTGAACACTGAGTCCGATGGAATCATTTGCTCCTTTTTCACCACTCAGTCATCGAAGCGACGGCAACAATATGCCTAAGACCCGACGAAGCAATGCCTTTAGAGCTATCCGGGTTGATGTTCACATACTGGAAAGTAGCTCCACTTCATCGCCTATGGCACGGAACAACGAGCAGACTACGAGCGCGTTATCGCAATCACGGTTTACGAGTTGTGTAATCTCTGGAAGATTTGTTGACTTCTAAGTTGCGGTGTATAAGAAGGTGTCGTCAAGTTCTCGATAATGAAATTAATAACCAAGGTTAGCTAGTTTAAACAGGTCCGAGTCCATTTGTTTTACTACCCAGCATAAATTGAATGTAGGTGTGATTGTAACTTTGTATTTCTAGGTTACAAGGAAGAAAATGCAGCAAGGTGTAATTATTGATTCCAGTTCCGAACAAACATTCACAATAAAACATGCCAAACATGGCAATTTATAAGAATTTCTAAATTTTTGTGTAACAATTCAGATGCCATATGATGTCATATCATGTACTCTCGGTCATTGAACCGATAAAGTTGATATTGATTGATTTAAATTTGATCCCTCCCAACGGTTTACCACCTCATCGTGACTGGGAGGTGTTCCTGAGTGTAGGGCTACAGTGTACAAGTACCGCAGGGTCTCCGAAGCTAAGAAGGAGTCCGGCGTTTCCATCAGGAAACCCAGCTGAGAGCGAACCAATACCAGGATCCACCACCGTCGTGGTACCAAACTAGTGGCATGGCGGCAAATCTCCCTCTGATCCACAGGGACGAAGACTACATGCAGCGGTGACGACCTAGGGCAGACTTTGACCGGGTTTACCTCGGGACTCGGGGAAAACACCTTGGCTAAACCAGCAAAACTTCGAAAAAAAATGGAAATTACGCTGGGACCCGCACAAACAGTGAGGATGGTACATCCAGGTATCGAAGTAAATTTGATCAATACGAGTAATACAGGAGACATTCGATCGTCAATAATCAATCCATTAACTGGCAAATCTCAGTAGTACTGGTAACCACCACTACTGCTACTTTCGTTACTGCTTCACTACTCTGGTCCTGACGAACACTGGCACACAAGCTGAAAGGGGACGAGTTGTCTGCTCCACAATCGATGGTGCAGTTGCCGTTCGACGCAGCCACATGTCGAGCAAAGTATACTTCAGGACATTGGGTTATTTTTCCACCAGATCTGTTTTAGGTACAAATTTAGCTCAGTTTTTGTCATTTTTTGTGAAACTGTTCGTTAAATTCAGTGAGGTAAGGTTTCGAGTAGTTTACGCACCGGCCATTGCGCAGATACCTCGGGTTCCGATCTTCCTATTCCTTGTCCCAGCCTGCTTTCTTTCCTTCATCTGCTTTATACTTTTTTTTGCAGTTGTTTAACTAATGTTTACTATTTGTTCGGTTAATGATTGCTCGATCGCAGAACTACGAGCTTAATGAGTTCTTTGTTTATCTTTCGACAGAAGACATTTTCGTTCAGTGAAATAGTTTAGATGGTTGTGGCTTCACCACCTCAACCGTTGACGAAGAATGGGGTAGCCGTGCATGAAATGAGGACCATCCAGATGGAATCGTGTCGTAAGATATTCATTCCTAGAGATTATTCTCAAGGTCTCAACGTTCATTTTGAAACTCATTTCCCTATGGCATTTCGGGGGAAGGTAACTCTTTACTGTTCTAACTCATGTTTTTAGTTTTTTTTAAATTTTACTTTATGCGACCCGTCTTGTCTATTGTGTGGATCCCAGCATTTCTCACATTCCATTTGTTCCTTGAATCCATTGTCCACGAAGGTCCACCAACTTTTTGCATGTGGCTTCGGCTACTGCATGAGGACTTTCATTTCATCTTGAATGTCGTACAATGCCGTCGAGCAATTCTCCGTGGAGCCCTGCGATAGCCGGGCTAGAGCATTCGCCGTTGAATTGCAGAGAATGACTTTTTCTCGTACAAGTTTGGTACCAATTTCCCGACTCCGGAGGGATGAGAGACTTGGTTCGCCGGGAGCGGAATCGAACTTGCACCATGCTCGTGATGACCGACATCACTGCAGCTTTCTTATCCGCTCCGCATTTCTAGTTTATCTGACTTAATTCTTTGTTTCAGATTTCTGAGGGAACATGGGAGTCTACTATACACTCGATCAATTCAATTTTTGCGGAGGCAGAAAAGGTGTCTTTCATGGTTGATATATTCTGTCTGGTACCAGCATAAAATCATTCTTCTTTTCTTTCTTTCCCACAAATTTCGTTTAGGATTGGTCACTGGGACTGAAAAAATTGTAATCCTTAGTTAAGACTGTTAATGTGAGTGTCTGACTTTTGTTGAACGTTTCAGCTTCGTATATCTGTTCCCCTTTTAAAGGTGACGACACTCTTTCATTCATTACTGCTATTCGTTTTTCCTTCTCTATGAGCAATTTCGAACTGTTATTCTTAAAAGTATAAAGCCTTCGGCGTTGATCTATCCTTGAGGGATGCGCCATGCACCCGACTTCATTGAGCATCGTCGGAGGTCATTAAATGCGCATCTGGTCTTTACAATAATAATGACTCGCGGTAGCCTATCGATGTATCGAGCTAGTGCTGCTATCCTCCCAGGTAAGTCGTGTACCAATTTGCCGACCCGAAGGGACGGTGGACTTGGTGAGCCTGAGGCATGGGGTCGATCCCATGTGTATTGCAAGGTACCTCCGACACTGCGCTATAGACGAATTGTTATTCGTGGACAGAGAAAAATAAGTGCAGTTCTTACGAATGTGTCGTCATTAAATTTGCGACTTTATGACTGATGAGTTGTGTGCGTGTGGTGCAGAGGCGTTCTGCGGCACACACATGAGATCGATCCCGTCCCACAGGACCGCTAAGTCTTCCATCCCTCCAGGCTCGGTGAACTGCTCCAAACTTGTCTGGGAGGATAGAGCACTGACTCCATTCATCGGTAGGCCACCGCGAGTCATTCTAATGACCAAATATGTATTCAATCACCTCCAACGATGGTTAATGAAGTCGAATGCCTGGCGCATCCCTCAGAGATTGATCAGCATCGAGAGCTTTATCACTTATCCTTCTATGACTGATGAATATTACTATTCTATATTTAACAAGGACTCTTTCTGTGACTAAACCATTGGTTTTATGGGTCTAAATATATTTGTAATGAGAAAGGTTTACAGAACGTGGTCAGATAAGGCTAAATTCGGTTTTAAAGTCTTTGAGTTTAACATATTAGCAGAAAAGTACCGGAAAAACTTCTGAAGAGTTTGTCATTGTGGGACAGTTTTGTCCCAGCTTTTCATATCACTAACATTTTATGTGTGCACAATAAGTTCTTTAGTTTACAGGTGTGCTTGGCAACGATACTCGAAACATTGTTAGGTTGTGCTACTTGCTATTGCTCTCGTTTGATAAGCGATACCATCTACCAGAAAAAGGTCGTTACTTTTGACATTTGCCATGAAGCAATGTGGATTTTAGGTCTGATACTTGTTTAGATGAACACGCTCAGTGAATTCATTGACCAGGAGAACCAGCAAACTTACAATCCTGCCGGATTCCACATCATCAATCCAATGCAGAGAGGCTTGCGTACGGTATGTGTGGTTGTTTCTTTCTAGTTTTTTAAACATGTTTTACTACGCTTCAGTGAATAACGTCTCGTTTTATAAAATCGCGTGGATTTGACATTGTTGAGCTTACGTGAGGCTGATAGTAAAGTTTATTCTGCTAACGTTTCGACGTCCTCGTCTTCATCAGAGCCGATGATCCGAGTCCATAGTCGAGTCAAATGATTTTATTGTCTACCTATGGGTCTTTGTTTTTACTTTTTAGTATAGGGTACTGATGTACACGCCACCTACTCCGTGAACGAAATATGGTTTGTAGTTTTTCCTGTTGTTCTTCATACTGTACACTGTTTGCTTACAGTACTTCCTCTCGTTAAATCTGCGGTCTGTATGCCTCCGCTGTTGGAACATTTTCTTATACTTCTGTATCGTATGTTTTCTGTACCGTACTAGATTCCATGCTATCCTTTATACGTAATTGGCACTTCTTATTCAGTCCTAAATTGGTGAAAAAATAATCATGAATTGTAATGAGCAACTTTGAAACACTCTAATTGGACTCAAATACAGCTTTGTCTACCAAGATATGAAACATTGGGACATACAAATTCTTACGTATATGGAACAAGCTGCGTGTTCCAGCAGCAGAGGACTAGGACATTTGTAGACTGCTAATTGGTCCATACTTACTGCTTCATCGTGGCTGAGAGGTGTTCCTGGGTGTCGGGCTGCGATGTACAGCGGGTGGATTCGTCCCCCAGGCAGGGTGTCCCAAACTGAGGAGTCCGGCGTTTCCATCAGGAAGGCTAGCTAAGAGTAAACCAATACCAGGATGCACCACCGTTCTGGTATCAAAGCCGCATGTGGCAAATCTCCCTCTGATCCACAAGGGTTGCGACTGTCTGTGGTGGTGAAGACTTGGCGCAGACTTTGGTCAGGCTGTCCTCGGGATTCCAGGGAACCACAATAACTTAACCAGCAAGTCTCCGAAAAATGGTGGTTATACTAGAGGCGCACAACTAGTGAGGACGGGCTGTTCAAGTATCAAGTAAGTATCTTGGTGCATATAACCCCTTCATCATGAAAATTTATATTTTTAGTCCTTGGGCCATTCGTACACTGTTTATTTGGAAACGTTTTTGGTGGGTTACATCTTAGTGAGATCTCGAGTTACTTTCGTGGTAGTATAGGCTCGGTGAAACTCATAGAATAAGAATGCAAATTTCTTTTCTTAATATTGTTTGGACCGAAATAAAATTAATATTATTTAAACCGGAATAAAATTGTTTTAAATTAAACTTTGTATTAAATACTTTGTAAGAATTTGTGAAACTGAAAATAGGCTTCAATATGGTTGACAGAAACACTTTAAGTAATGGGTTCCTTATGTGTATGGAATTCACAAAGAATCCGCCACTATTTCTGCGTCAACTTAATGTTACGTCTGTTACATGAACAGAATTCTTTCTGATGTTAGCTATGCCTTGCGTTGGTCCTCTAGCAATGCTCTATCTGGTAACGCTTCTGGTATGGGTCGTTTTGATTTAGTGCACTAAAAGCTCTCATTTCCACCTGTTAAAGTTAGAGGTTAGATGTTCGTACTTCATTCCCATATGTATTCAGTAAGTAGAACGTACTGAAATCTGAAGTTTAAATTTTTCTCTTGGGCATCTGTGACGCAAAGAAATGCTACTTGTCAACTCATACAGATATCTGATTCATTCAGAACTATACTACGTCTTATCTACATCATGCTTTGTAGTTTTTGTCATAATTGTCATTTTCCCTGGGATGAGGAATTTCTATACCTCGTAAGGGTCGATATCAATATCCAATCGCATTTTAGCTCATAACTTTCACTCTTATTGTAATGGCTTAGAAAGAAAACAAAATGACAAGTTTATCACTCCACATCAGCTATTTGAATGCAGAGAAAAAAAATCAATCAACCATAATTATCCGCGTCTGTGTGAAGGCCTAGCGGTCTAAGAATTGAAGATGACTCTGTTGTTTGTTTCTCATTTGCAGAGTTTTTGTACACACCTGTTAAATAGAGTAATATGCACGTCTTTGGTTTTTATCCATTTTATCCTATTCTGCACATCTTCTTTACAGGTTTCAAACGCTCAAAATTGTCACGACCGGCTTTCTATTAACCTCGGCATTGATCAAGTGATTTTCTTCGTATTTTTGTTGAGCAAACGCGAGGTGTTACTATTCTTTGTTCACGATTAAGCTGACGTTTCGGCGAATTTCGCCTTCTTCAGAGCCTGGAAAGGTCAAGTTGATAGCAACTCACTGGGCCAGACGCCTCCATAACCAGACAAAGAAAGAAACTCCAAACCAAGATTTCAATCACTTTGAACACAGCTCTGCACACTCACCGCTTTCTATGAGGTTTCCACTAAGTATGTCACGTAGAGACCAACCGCACAGAAATCACGTGGAAGTATAATGTGCCCCTCACATCAGAAAAGCAGTTTTATATACTGCCCTATATCACGCGTGATAATGAGGCATTCTTCCCTGCGGTTCATTTTCGGATTTCTGGAATTAATCCAGAGTGCCTCGAGAGTTTTTCGCGCCTGTGTTCTTGATTCGCGTGCGAGGATCGTGACACATACTTCGAAGTCGTCCCCGTTATGTCTCTGGGTCCTATGCGTGCCTAGCGGGGTATTTGGTCTATTTTTGCCGGCTAGGTGTTCTTTCATGCGGGCACAGAGGGGTCTACCCGTCTCGCCAATGTATTCGTCACCACACGTCTTACAGGAGATCAGATAAACTATACCCGAGCTCATGCAATCACCGTCTCTACCACTGGGGCAAATTATGCAATTTTGAGTTGCACATAGACGGTCATATAGGCGGTTACGAACTAGCTGGCGATTAAGATTACTCGGTGGTATTTCAACTACGCTCACCGAATTCTCTAAGCCCGCCCTTCTTAAGCAGCGCTTTATAGCTATACTTATATCATTTGAGATGAAGGGTAGGATAAACGGAACCCTTCTATCGCTAGAGTTGTCGTTTGGAGGCCTACGATTTCCTCTACACCTATTCTGAGCTACAGTTTCGTAGCCATTAGAAACGGCTATTTGCCGTGCCAAGTTCCGGGACTCCTCTCTCTGCTCTCTTCCCGTGCACACGTTGGTTGCTGTTCGAAACATGTTTCTTATAAGCGCCCTTTTCGTGTGAGAGGGGTGAGTGGAAGACCCTGGCCGAGTGAGTTGCTATCAACTTGACCTTTCCAGGCTCTGAAGAAGGCGAAATTCGCCGAAACGTCAGCTTAATCGTGAACAAAGAATAGTAACACCTCGCGTTTGCTCAACAAAAATACGAAGAAAATCGCTCAAAATTGTTTTTATTTCAAAGCACATAGTGAAAAGCACTGAATCGGTATATGACTGAGTCAGAAACTTGACACATTCAAACGATTGAGTTTCTATAAACCTTGGCATAAATAATCGATATATTTATTTATATGTTCCTATGAACTGATCTTGTTGAGCTGATGCAAGTTTGATAACGAGGAATATACTATACTACTAGAATAACAATCTTCCAACAGCTCAACAAGATCACTTCATGAGAACTTGACACATTTTCGGTGACTCTTGGTTTTTAGCCACGTGGGTTGCGAATTGTATGCGACCAGAGTGGAGATGTGGCCACTCCCATTAGTAGTAATGCTCTGCATTGATATGTCTGTATAATCAGCAAAGAGTGGTTATGGCAGACACAAACAAACGAGTTGGAATAAATGTGTTTTATAAACTGTGATCTGTGGACTACCGTGGGTGGTAATCTTGCCGTTTAATATGTATAAGAGCCGATCGAATAAAGCCTTCAGTCCCTTCGGGGTCGGGTGTCGGTACATTCCTGGAAGCTTTCTCCGATCCACATGACCTAGGAACGACGTAGCACAACCATTTCAGGATTCCAAAGAGAATCAATTGCTCTTGCATTTAGCAACATTCGTGTACAAAACTGAATATACTTAATGATCAGTCGAATAACAACGCAAATCCGAAGACCTTCATTGATGATAGATGCCAGGAAACGGGTCGAACGCAGGAAGTGCTGTGATTTGGACAACATGTGATATCGAGTCGCATAAAAAATAACAGAAAATATCTTCCCTCACATTTTATCGTTTGTATCCTTATTGAGGAGGCCATCAATCTGATACCAAAGTTACTAAAGAAAAAATACTTGTAAAAAGGGCATTTGTAAAGCGAGTGAATTGAGATCAATGCGAAAGTGTTCGACAGGCTATGCAGTATTATATTTAATGTTGCACATTATTGGAACCAGTGTTTCCCACTTTTTCACACTATGATTATTCCGTACGTTGTTGTGAAAATCTCTTCGTCTACTCTTTTGTTAATAGTTCAGTTTCTTTTTGGCTTTAAGGTCGAAATATGGATTTTAAACGAAGCTCCATCAAGCCTCGCTACGAATACCCGTTCAGAAGCGCAGAGCGGCTGTAATGCTTATTCAGAATCGAACTCACGTAAGTTGTTTTTCGCACATTTCTTTTACAAGAGCACGGAAAGGATGTAACTAGTTACTAGAGCACCATTCGTATCACAATAAATGTAGAAGTGTTTGTTTCAGCCTGATCTCACGTGGTTCTTGTTTTATGTTTATCCCTCATGATTTGCGGCTATATGTAGCATAGGATCTTCTGGTACTCTCTGTCTGCGCTTTGCTAGGGATTTGTCGTTTATTATGTCATATTTATGAATTGTGAAAAAAAAACTTAACATGCCGGTTCGATTTCGGTTTTTGCGATTCTTAAATGTGATTGTTAGTGGTGTCTCGCAGTTTCTTAGCAATTTTCGAGACATACCAGATCATCTTATTCGATTATATAATTTTATCCTTTTATGAGATGCGCTATATACATAGTTCTCGTCAGTGCCATCCATTTAATGTATTTTTTCTTTCTTATTACTTTAATTAGACTCACATCGCTCTAGTATTTGTGAACGAACATTTTGCTGACTACTAAGTTCGTCTATTCATCGATCGATTGTGATTACGTCCCTTTCACTTCGCCGTACATATTTTACATCTTTTTATGTTGTATGGACATTTATTTTCTGTTTACTGTTTTCTCTCTGTTTCTTTATGGAAACTGTCGACGCTTGTAGCGAGGTGCTTATGCCCCAGTTTGAGCCGTTTGTTCTTGAAAATTCGTCATTATAGAAAGTGTTTCACTACTTCTACCAGGTTTTTATTTTCTGCCAAAATAGATATAATGAATAAAAATGTCCCACTACACTGCATCTTTAAATTGTTGTGCTCCCTAGGATTGTGTTGCTTTAGCAGGCCTAAGGCTGAATATAATTTGCAGCAGTTTTCTACGTTTGTTGGAGGAAATCACCGTAAACTGTAAGCAGACTTCTTTAGACATGTCGTCACAAATTTGACGAGAACTAGGGTATTTTCACATGGAGTTTGACTCTCGTCACTGTTGAGCTTACGGTTGAAGTGCTTTTTCTCAGCGTAAATAATTTGCGTACCAGTTGATGCCACGCAGTGAAGATGCTTGAAATGTAAGCAACTTTTTCTCCAGAACGACTCCTGTCCGTGCACTTGCTGAGGAGTGTCGTCCACTGAGCACCTCTGAGGCAGAAGTCTTCCTATCGACTGTGCTCTGCAAACACTACGTCGCCAGGCGGCGAACGACCTTTTGTGGTATATCAGACCTTAATTAAGAAAAGAAAAAAAGAGTAAAGTTTTTAAAGTTATAAAGAAAAGGTTTTCATTTTTAAGATTTCTTTCATGAAGCTAGAAAAGTTATA